TCTATTGTAACAATGTCAAGCTTGTAACAATAGCAGAACCTTTTTTTTTCAAAAAGTTGCTATAATGGATCATATAGAAACAAACTCTCCATCAATCTGAAGAACGCTTTCATGGTGCAAGAACCCTTTATTCATGCAAAGGGTTCTTTGAGTGTTCATGGTTCTATATAGAACCATTTATTTTCTTTACTAAGGAACCCTTGAAGAACCATCCTTTTTAAGTGTGTAGATGACAAATTGATACAAGATTCACCAGGGGGCTTCTTACCCTGATAGTGGGGCAGGATGCCCCTTTTTAGGATTTTCTTTTTTGTTCTAAAACAAGGCTAGGCAAGCCTAGTTTTGCTGGACCACCAGGCTGCACGCTCTCTCCTCTGCAGCTTTTGGTAAATAATGACAGGGGCGAGGCAGTCATTTTAAAAGTGAGGGGGACACAGTTGTCAGTACATGATAGCCCCAGACTCGTAGGTTCAGTACTACTATGATAAAGCCTGTAGCAGCATGTGCGTTTTTACAATCAAGCCAATTTGAACATACCCCACCGGGAAGTTAACCATCTCACATATGGTCCAAAACTAGCCTTTCAGAGTTTTTAGACACACAATCTATTCCAAGAACACAAAACTATGGTTATGCTCCACAATAAGAAGCTGACCCATCACTGACCAGTCATGTAGTTACTCAAAAATATTCTATTCCAAATTACTATTCTCTTAAACTGTATTGTGATTATTTATTACTTCCAGGGAAAAGTAAGCTCACAGTTCTCATTACTTTACATCTACATTATTACTTTCCAAACCCCAAACAAATTAGTACCAATCTTAAACAGCTAATCTCACATCATTTAAAAGGCATCTCACCATCTCACAAGCTAAATACAATGCGGGAAGTAGGGCTGTAATCTAGACCACCTTTGTTGAGTCCAAGATGAATCCAAGACCATAACCAGTCGAGGCCAAGTCAAGACCAAGTCCAAATCAAAGCGAGACTGAGTCCTTATTAAAGCCAGATCTGGGCAATAACAAAACCTAAAAAATCGAGTCATCATATCCTTTTAGTAGAAATTACTAGAAAAATGTAAAAGAAGGTTTTCTTTTTACAAAACAAAACTGTCTGTACAAAAACAACTCCATCAAATTCAAACTATAAAAAATACTTATTTTTATACTAACAAACACACATCTGGCATGGATTGAAAGGTTCTTTGCTTTCATTGCCTGCTCTGAATGAATGCAACCAGTGCCCACTCTCAATTAATCCAGCCAATACATACTCTAATTGGATCCAACCAGTGCCCATTCTGAATTCTCTGAATTAATGCAACTAACCCTCGTTCTAAATTAATTCAACCAGTGCTTGCATCATGAATTATTATAAAAATGTGATCAAAAACAACAGCCTGTCTGTTTTTGTCTTGATGACTTAATTAAGTCAATTAATTTACTTGGCTGTTATAATAAATAATGGTTTGTCAGTTTTTCGTATCAAAAATTATATCAAGATATCTTGTGATTCCATTCTGGCAGAAATTAAAGTCGACGTAAAGCCTTTAAATTAGCAAAACGAAATGTTCCTCTTGTTTTAAGAGAGTACAGTACAATAGAGTATAATATAGTTTATACAGAAAACTTTTTTACTGCCAGATTCAACACCAAATTTTGGAAACATGCTTTTCAGACTGTAAACCAGCCATTCTTTCTAATATGGAGTTAGTTTTACGCCAGAATGATTGAGAGAAGATCCTGATGTTTGAGAGAGGAATGTTCCGGTTTGAGACGACAGCGGTGCTCTGAGCGCGCAGATAATGAACTTGAACGCACTTGTCAGCACGAAATGCGCAGGTTAAACGCCTTCGGATTTGCTCAACAAAACACTCTGGTTTCATTCAGAACTTGAAAATCTGCACAACAATGCACCCCTTTTAGAGCTCGTACCTGCAAAACACTCCGGTTTTCACTCAAAACTGGAAAACCTGCTCAATCATGCTCTTCACCTTCAAAACTCGCACGTGCGCGCAAATCATTTCTGCTCTCAGCTCCGCAGCACGCACTCAACTTTCACATCTGCTCGCTGTAAAATGTCTGAATGTTTGTGCCAAAACTCCAGCCAATCAGAGCTGCCGAGGGGCGGTTCCTGTGAGCGCACCAATCATGGCGTCTTTTCTTAAGCAGCTTTATGCCAATTGGTCAAGGCACGTTCGTGGCTGTGGTATTGAGTCGGCTAGTGTGCTTGTAGCCTCGACATTAGCTAGATGGTTTATAGCTTTCTCGTAGCAAATTAATAGAAACGATTTATCAGTAATACTCATCATAAATAATAACGTATTAATCTAACTAACATTGGTAGCTCGGCCATTTGTTCCCTACCAGAGGCTTAACGTTAGCTAACTTCAAATAGCTTAACATTAATCAACAAGCTGACGTTAGCAAGGTTTCTTTGACTGTAGCTAACAGTGTCTAACAGTATTCTACTGAACTCTCCTATAGTGCTTGTCTTCATAGGCTCATCTTGTTAATCCTGTATATTTATCTTCTATAGTAGCGTCATCAAAAAAACAATACTGATGCCGTGCAGTTTTATATGGACAACTTTTCAGTGAGTACAGGGAGTAATATAGGTGATCCTATTTTGTTTACTAAACATAATACTGTTTTCTAAGGGCCATACATGTTTTTTTCTCTGTATGACGTTCACACATCGGTTACTGTAAATCATTGATTAAAAATATCAAGCACACATACTATAAATATAATACTTATATTTCTTCTCATTCTCAGCTCTTTGCTACAATCTCTGGATTTCCACCTTTCCCTTTGAATAAGCAGTATACTCTAAAACGCAAACATAAAAAACCATATGATTCTGAAACTCACTGTTAAAAGACTTAATTGACTGACTTATCATCTGTTGTCAGCATTTCACAGCGTTAATATCCTGGACACTAGGTTATCAAAACACACTGACGTTTGGCTTCAAACCAACCTACTGTTGATGGGTGCTAAATAACAACATGTATGGGCCTTAGAAAAGAAGTACAGTATTATGTCTAGTAAACAAAATAGGATGAACTTTATTACTCCCTGAATTTTTTTTTTTTTGTCCATATAAAACTGCACGGCATCAGTATTGTTTTTTGATGACGCCACTATAGAAGATAAATATACAGGATTAACAAGATGAGCCTATGAAGACAAGCACTATAGGAGAGCTCAGTAGAACACTGTTAGCTACAGTCAAAGAAACCTTGCTAACGTTAGCTTAGTTGATTAATGTTAAGCCATTTGAAGTTAGCTAACGTTAAGCCTCTGGTAGGGAACAAATGGCCGAGCTACCAATGTTAGTTAGATTAATACATTATTATTTATGACAGAGCATTACTGATATCGTTTCTATTAATTTGCTACGAGAAAGCTATAAACCATCTAGTTAATGTCGAGGCTACAAGCACACTAGCCGACTCAGTACCACGGCCACGAACGTACCTTGACCAATTGGCATAAAGCTGCTTAAGAAAAGACGCCATGATTGGTGCGCTCACAGGAACCGCACCTCGGCAGCTTGGCTGGAGTTTTGGCACAAACATTCAGACATTTTACAGCAACCAGATTTGAAAGTTGAGCGCGTGCACGTGTGAGTTTTGAAGGTGAAGAGCATGATTGAGCAGGTTTTCCAGTTTTGAGTGAAAACCGGAGTGTTTTGCAGGTACGAGTTCTGAAAGGGAAATGCATTGTTGGTCCGGTTTTTTTAAGTTTTGAATGAAACCAGAGTGTTTTGTTGAGCAAATCCGAAGGTGTTTACCTGCGCACTTCGTCCTGACAAGTGCGTTCAAGTTCATTATCTGCGCGCTCAGAGCACCGCTGTCCTCTCAAACCGGAACATTCCTCTCTCAAACATCAGGATCTTCTCTCAATCATTTAGGCACAAAACTAACTCCATATTCTAACACCACTAACCACCTTAACTCTAATTAAACTACAAACACTGTTAGCTAGCTAGGTGCAAATGTGTGCCTCACACATTTAGCAATCAGTTAACAAAAAGACTAAAAATCATGCAAGGTTGTCAGATTCAGTAAAACATTTACATGGACAGATAAACTGTAGAACAAGTGTTTGAGTTAGCTTCCTCGGTAGTGACAGCTGTAGGTTTTCTGGCTACACAAACTCCACTAGACACCTCTAAAACAGAATGCTTTCAATTACTTCAGATTTAACCGAATAAATAAAAGTGCATAACCTACGCTTGTTGCTGAGGTATAATGAATTTGAAACACATTCATTTACCGAATTAAAATATCATGCAATGGCAGAAATGAACCAAAGTAGAGCGAGACATGGAGGACCGTTTAATCTGCAGAAAAAAAAATACTCAGTACTGATAGAGGGCAATAAAGGACAAATCTGAGAGTGGTCTACTGTTATTCCAACAGCCTCAACACCTAAACGTGGGCAAGTAGAGGAGAGTGATTGCTTTATCCCTTGTGTTGGAATGTAAAGGCGATAACGTATCATATTATTTTATGTTTATATAAGCCATTTTTGTATAAGACTCAACTGCTTGTCTGTTGAGAAAGCATGCTGATGGTACAAGACCGCTTGGACAGGCTTGGCTGTCATTGTACTGCCACTTGCTGTAACGCTCAGAATGCAGCTCACGCTTGTGCTGCGTTATGAAATGCTTAGTGACACATTTTGGAACACAGCAATGTGCGAAACCCCGTTTGCGTAGCTCGAAGCAACTGTGTCATATACATACATACATAGGAGCCAGGCACATCAACAGTGCTGCTATGTTGGGGCGGTCAACGTTATTACTGGGCTGCATTCAGTGCCATTACAGAGCAACAGTTTAGAAAAGGTACTGTCCAAAATTATACTATTTTAAGAATAATGCACTCAGAAAGTGGGATAGGATTTGTAATGGAGAGAACACAGTGATCCACGCACATGTTTGTGTTATGTTTATTGCTTATGTGATGTTTAGGTGTAGATATAGCCGTGTGGTTGGTGAAACACAGAGAACTCGTTGATGTGATTGTTTTTTTTCTGGTTTTCTGTTAAGCTTATTTCATTTAATAGCCTATACACTAACTTGTATGTGTTACATTCATTTATTTACAGTGATTGTTAATGCTGCAGAAGCATTGTAGGTAAGTTACAGCATTCCCTAATCCATGTAGATATTCACAATAGATTAGCACCTTCTTGCACAAAGCTTAGGTCAGCTTCTTATTCAAGTTTTCACGTTCCACCTTAAATGGTACAGCAGTCAGCTTTTTATTTGAATTTTCCTGTTGCACCTTAAGTAGTGCAGCTTTGGGCACCACAATGTAACTTTTGGAACGGAAAAATTCGAACTAGATTCATTATTATGTGCATGAAGACTGGAAGTGATTCGCACATTGATGGATCTGCTGATGTGTGTATGATTGTGTTTCTACCAGTGCTCGCGATAACCTTGGTTTTTAACGTCAGGTGCAGACTGAATACTTTCCTGCTATGCCAGCCAGCTAACCAGCACATTCACAGTTATTACATAGAAATAAAATCTACCGAGAGCAGTCCGTGCAACCTAGATTAATCCATGTCTGAGGATTATAACAAAACAAATTTTATGGAAATCGGTTAAATAGTAAGAAAGTTATGGGCGATTTAATCATAAGAACTCATCATCTGATTCTGTAGTCCGCCTAATGCACGAATTAGGAACTCTGGGTCTAAGCTTGTTTTCTCTATTGCCAGAATGAATGGGCTTTTTGAAAAATGGCCTCTGTCATGCCCTGTGCTAAATTAAAATGTTCAGAACCAGATATGTTTTGTCCTGTGTAAATTTTCCTCCTGAATATCACTGGATCCTCTAAATTAGGAAGCGGTTAAAGAGCCTTAATACTAATATTGCTACATGCAAGCTAATGCTACTGCGCATCAATTTGATGTCACTAAGCTACACAAAAATAAGGGGGGCTGTGGTGGTGTTCTGATGAGTTGTGCTACCTTATCAAAATGTTACCAGTGTTAAAACTACAAGGCTGAATTTAGCTTCTTTTTCAACACCTTCTTTTTCAAGTAGTTCCGTTCCACCTTAAATGGTGCAGCAGTTGTGATTAGCTATCATAAACATTAACAAATGGGACAAAACAATAATGACCTGTTGGTTCTGTGAAACAGCAAAAATAAGTTAATGTTAGAAGTGCTCATATCATGCCTTTTAACTCTCCATGAAGCTAAAGTCAGCTTCTTTTTTACCAGCTGCTTGTTCAGATTTTGAAGAAATTGTTTTCTCCTTCATGTTCAGTTACAACAAAAAAGTTGGGACACAAAATTTAAATAAAAACAAAATGCAATGATATGCAAATAATTTAAACCCTATATTTAATTGAAAATAGTACAAAGACAAAAAATCAAATGTTGAAACTGAGGAATTTTGCTGTTTTTTTTTTTTAAATATATGCCCATTTGATGCCAACAACACGTTCCAAAAAAGTTGGGACGGGGGCAACCAAAGGCTGGTAAAGTTGTGTAATGCTAGAAAAACACCTGGTGGTTAATTGGCAACAGGTCAGTAACATGATTGGGTATAAAAAGTCTTTCAGAAGTAAAGATGAGGAGGGGTTCACCACTTTGTGAAAGACTGCACAACATATAATGCAACAATTCAAGAATAACGTTTCTCAATGTAAAATAGCTTTTGTTTTTCATCATCTACGATACATAACATCATTAAAAGATTCAGAGAATCTGGAAAAATCTCTGTATGCAAGGTACAAGGCCAAAAACCCATATTTGCTGGTTATGAACTTGGCCCTCAGGTGGCGCTGCATTAAAAACAGACATGATTCTGTAGTGAAAATCACTGCATGGGATCAGAAACACTTCTGAAAACCACTGTTTGTGAAAACAGTTCATCACTGCATCCACAAATGCAAGTTAAAACTCTAAAACGCAAAGAAGAAACCATACATAAACAGGATCCAGGAATGCTGCCACCTTCTCTAGGCCTGAGCTCATTTAAATGGACTGAGGGAAGTGGAAAAGTGTCCTGTGGTCCGACGAATTAACATTTGAAATTCTTTTTGGAAATCATGGAAGCTGTGTCCTCCGGGCTAAAGACCACCCAGTTTGTTATCAGTGTACAGTTCAAAAGCCAGTATTCATGATGGTATAAGGGTGCATTAGTGCACATCTGTGAGGGCGCCATTAATGCTGAACGATATATACATGTTTTGGCAACATATGCTGCCATCCAGATGACATCTTTTTCAGGGAAGGCCTTGCTGATTTTAGCAAGACAGTGTCACATTCTACACATTATTACAACAGCATTGCTCTATATTAAAAGAGTCCGGGTGCTAAACTGGCCTGCCTGCAGACCAGACCTGTCACCACTGAAAACATTTGCTACATTATGAAATTAAAAATAGCTGAAATACTGTATCAAACAATTATGAGAAAACATTTCACTTTCGAAACTACTGCAGTTGGTCTCCTCAGTTCCCAAATGCTTACAGAGTGTTGTTAAAAGAAGGGATGATGAAACACAGTGGTAAACATGCCCCCGTCTCAACTTTTTTGGAATGTGTTGTTGGCATCAAATTCAAAATGGGCATATATTTTTCAAAAAAACAATACAATTTTTCACTTTCAACATTTGATTTGTTGTCTTTGTAGTATTTTCCTTTAAAAATATGGTTTACATGATTTGCACATCCTATTTTTATTTACATTCTACACAGCGTCCCACCATTTTTGGAAATGGGGTTGTACTTTACGTTTATAGATTTGAACACTAGAAATAATTTTTTCTTTTGTTTTCCGCAGCTCACTCTCAGCTAATGCCGATTTAACATGCTCAATCTGCCGAAAAAGATCTAACAAGGAGCCACGAGACCTCCATCAGGTCACGCGCACACCCACATGAAACGCAAGCTTACTTAACGCTGTGTAGCTTGAGGAACCAGCGCTTAAGTCTTCTTCTGTTTGATGAATGGTGGTTGGCAGGTGAACTTAGGGTGCATTACTGCCACCTACTAAGGGCTGGCTACACTACTCGCACAAAGTTAGTCAGTCAATCAGTAATTGTTGTTCCAGTTTATTTCCACTAACTGTGCATAGGTTTATTCTTCATCGTTCTGGACATGCTAAACTCATGCACAGATATGGTTTACATTTACAGTAAAACAGATGTTGTTCTTAAGGTGGTCATTTTCCCACATTTCCCCCTCTATAATGTGCACTTTTGCACCAGATTCTCTTGTATATAATGAAGCTTCTAACTGGAAACATAATGTGATCTGCCCTTTTACCCCAATCTCCTGTATGTTCTCTTTCATTTAAATATTTCCTCAAAATATGAAAATCTATTACCTGAAAATTTAACCAAAATCTGACTTTAAACTCTGGAAGATCTCTTTTTCCCCTGTAGGTGGATTTCATTAAAGACCATTGATACATCTGACTGTGGAGTTAAAATTTGCTTTAATTTTTTTATACATGTTTTATTACATATAGGGCCAAAAGGGAAGAAAGCATAAACTCAGTAAGCTGCACAGAAAAATAATACTGCCATCTTGTTCAAAGAGAAACAGATTCTTTTATGTACTATATATTCTCTGGAGATTCTCCAAGACTCCCACATCAAGTGTTTTCTCATTCATTGTTACTTTCAGTTATTTATTCTGATGCCTGTGATTTTTCTGACTTGTGTGTAATGTGACTTTACAGTCATTGCAATGTGCAAAAGTCATTTATCTTGGTGTGAAAAACTGTGTGCGTGTCTGTTTTGCTTATTGCCAAACACATGCAGGATTAGAACATTTATGAAATGTCTGTCCACGTCAAGAAATGCAGTTTTTGCTCTAAATTGGTATATCTTTTTCAGGGATTTGAAGCTTTTAATCAAGACCTTGACCTGCTGTTCATTTGCACAGCATGAGATAATGAAATGAAAACCTTTATCTGGCATTTACTGGGGCTGTGTACAGTAATGGATTAGAAAACATCAACATTAAAGCAATTTAGATGTGATTAATTTTTGTGTTGATTTAATGTTAATGTTTAATGTTTTTGTGTTAATTTAATGGTGTACTTTCTAGGACTAGATGCACTTAATTTTTTTTTTTTAGGTGGTATAATCTGAGGGATAAAGGTAGAAGAGTCCCTTTAAGATGACACGGACTTATCCTCCTGACATAATTGTATCAACCCTTTATCAAGACATCACAATTAGCCCAAACTGTGGGCTCACAAAGTGTTCTCTGTCCACTAAAGAATGTGATTCCCAAATGGTTGGAACACAAAATCAAAACTTTGAAACCATCAACAAAAGACATTGCCGTAGCTTTGACTTCATTGAGTCACTGGATGATCCAAACACCTTTTCTTCGTCCATGGAGTGTCCTTACACAGCTGAGCAGCAGGCAGTGAATAAAGATGTTGCATGGAATGACATTGGGCAGCAGGGCCATCTTCGTTTTTCCTCTCCTGATCTATTTAACACAAAACTGTCTCAACAACAGACCAGCACTGACAAAACCAATGAGTCAGCAAGGACTAGTCTTAAAGGCAAAAATCGGTCAAAAAGCGTGCCTAAAGTTCGAGCCACTCTTACCCCTGTACCTATTATAGTCTCACAACCTTCAACAAGGTGGGGGCAATCTCCAGTGTACCACCAAAAAAAGCCTGAAGGGTTTCCCCAAACCCGAGAGCCATCTCTTAATATAAATCGGGCTTTAGTTAACGAGGTGCACCCTATTAAGCTGCAGCCTCAAACACCCCTTTGTGTCTCTGATTGTTTTGAAGAGAACAGACAGGACAAGCTAGCCAACTCTCCTCATGTTAGATATCGAGTAGATATCAAACCAGATGCAGCAGTTCTCCAGCACACCACAAGGAAACTACCTGCTGCCAGAAATGACATGCCTTGGCAGCGTTATTCCACATCAAGCTTCAGGAGTATGTCTGTGCCACGCCAAATGCCCACCTCCAGAACACCCACTCCCAGTGAGTGTTACAGCATGGACTGCAGGCATGCTTACCATTATCCAAACTGTGTGCCTAGTGGCTACATTGAACCTGCACATATTTCTTTAGGTGGGACTTCACCCAGGGATCCAAGGGAGTACAGAACTCTATCTAACCCAAACATTCCAACCAAATTCTTCTATACAGAAGATCCTACCAGGTATCCAGTCCAGTCACCAGGTAGAGCCTATTTTCAAGATGACCAGTACAGTACTAAAAGTAGCAACAACCAAAACCCCTCAGTCAGTGGCCAGTACATAAATGACCCAAGGTCCCGATGGGTTTTTACAATGCCAATGCGTAAATATTATGCTGATTCTCGCCCACAATCATTGGATGCATACTACAATAGACCATACTCAATGAGTGAACTCGGAACACACTTTATGGCTGCACCACAGACAAGAACATACTGTAGAGAAAGTGAAAGAACGTATGCCTTCCCCTCTGATCATTCTAAGATTTTCTACTCACAGTCTTGCCATTCTCCAGCAGAATACTCTATTCCAGTGACTGCATACCATGCAGAGGGGCGACAGATTCCACATATTTCTTTTCCAGATGACTGGTACCGATCAAGCATAGCCACATATTCCAGTCAATACCCATCTTCACAGGTGACACCACAGAAAACTCCAGCAATGAGCCGTTGGGATGTCAATCACTTTACTGAGTCTAGTCAATTAGGAGGAAATGTCAGGAATTATTCAAAGTCTTGGGAGAACATTCTTATTCCACATATGGAGAAGGAGCATACTGTTCCACGAGGCAGGAGCTATGAGAATCTTTATCATCAAGGGAAGGAAAGAGTTTCCCCTGACAACAGACAAAAACCAGTCATAATTAACCTCTCAAGTTCACCAAGACGGTACGCTGCTTTGTCCCTCTCTGAAAATTCTTTGGAGAAGTGTGCTAGTGACAGAAGAACTGGCATGGGATGCCAGTGGTTTGTAACACCAGAGATTACCATTACAGACAATGACATTTGTCCAGGTAACAGCAGAAAAAAAAACGAGGACTCAGTCAGTTGGGATGTGTCAAATGGTAGACAGGGTCAAAATGCAAATAATCATAATCTTGTGAGACCTTCAGATCCATCAAAACCCTCAGAGAGAAAACACAATAACAGTTCCTTGCAGCAGAGCCTAGAGCAACTGGATGAGTTGTTAGCTGATTTGGTCATTGATTACAAACCTCAAAATATTAGGCAGTCTAGTGAGGACTTCATAGACCGGCTCAAACACTTGATTAATGATGATGAGGTGAAGGGAGAGGAGGTAATAGATCAAGAAGACTCTGGACTTTTAAACACTCAAACAAATTCTTCAAAGACCAGCCCAGATACCGTTAAAGATCCAGACAGTGGTTGTGAGGGGTTTCAGAGAAGTGCTGAGGACATATCCATCATCCAAAGTGCAGATGAAGATGATTCTATGGTGTGCTCCAACAGCAGATGCCGGCATAGGGAAACTCTGTTTAATGCCGGCTTGTATTTCAAGTCCTGCCATAGTTGTTACACTTATTATTGCTCCAGAAACTGCAGACGGGAGGACTGGGATACTCACAAAGAGAGCTGCCTGTATGGGCGCATCAGTAGTATTTGTAGGCATATCCTAAAACATTGCAGAGAGAACTCTGAGATTCATAAATCTTTCTCACGAATTGCTAAAGTAGGCTACCTGTCTCGAGGCAGAGGAGTCCTGTTCATAGGTTTCCAAAATCCTGCTTTTGCAAATAACTTTCTCCAAGTCGGACTTGAGAGCATTGCTATGTCTCCAACATATCTGTCACTCAGAGAGTTGGAGAGCTTCAAAGACAGCCTTAGGGAGTACTGTAAGGAACTCCAAGATGCAGGCAAGGAATATGATCCCAGTGAATGTTTCCTTTTGAATGTGTCCATAGCTATTGGTGACTTAGTGCCTAACAGACCTTCACCTAGATTACAAGCAGCAACAGTGCGCAAATATGCCAAGGTGTCATTGGCTTCCTCAAGCCCAGATAAGAAGGTTTTAAAGAAAGAAAATGACATGGAGACACTAATTCTCACCCCTCCACCCGGAACATCTGATATTGACAAAGAGGGACAAGAGGGTAGGAAAGCACGAGAGATCTGTTTCATTAATATCCAAAAGGAACTTAGAACAAGAGGCGTCTTCCTTCGCCACGAGTTTCCACAAATATACAGCAAGCTTTGTGAGTTTGTAGAGAACAACAAAAGGTTCACTCCCACAACCATCTATCCCATAGATAAGAGAACAGGGAAACAATTCATGTGTATGATCATGGCAGCCTCTGAGCCAAGAACACTAGACTGGATTGGTGCGCCACACCTACTAGATGACATTATATAAGTCTCTGCACCTCTGTGGTATCCAGTGGTTGCAAAGGGCTTTATCTTCATCTATGGAGCATATTCTGTGTATATTATACAGATGTATGTAAATATGTATTTTATTACTGTAAAAACAGTTATTAGAATTTTCTCTCCTGACACAGTATTATGCTTAGAAAATGCTTGTGGGATGCACTTTGCAGAAAGGTACTCTATAGTGAAAAGCAGACATGAGCACGTATTGTTTCTTAATGCATAAAATAATTTATTTGTTGCTTATTTGTCCATTTAGTTACAGTGATTAAATATAACGAAACAAAACCTTTGTCAAGTATACAAGCCATCAATTTTAGCCCCTTGAGTACACACTTGCCATATATTGCCATATTTATCCAAATTGGTGGTCAAATGAACCCACTGAGCATTTTCATACATGCAACAGAACATCGTTGGACATTATTGATTAATAGTATGATGTAGTGCACCTGAAATGCCTAGCCTGGCTAATCAATACTTCATTAATACTTCATGAAATTTAACAAAGACATACAACGAATGAAGTCAGGAACCAAACTTCTGTTCTTTTAACTGAATTCTTTTAACCAAGATATTAATAAATGTTTTAAAGCAGTTCTAAAAACATCATATATTTATGTGATTTGTATCTATTGTATAGCATAAATATTGTATTTTATTTATTCAATAGGATTAATATATTCTGTTATATAGTATTTTTACTGGCAAAAACACATCTTGTGAAATAGTGATATATGTATCACTCTAACCAAAAGTGTTTAAAGCTAAACTATTAATAATTGTGATATTACTCCACATCAAATAAGAAAAAGAATGAAAAAATAAACCGATATAAGAAACACGAATAATATGAGCATACTGTCACTGGTGTTATGTACTATTTATAAATTAACATATATTTGTATCAAACATGGTTTAAATCTTTATTCTATTACATAGATCTGTAAGTTCATTCCACAGTTCTGTTCATGTTTACTGTACCACTTTAGGATGACTGGTGTTGAATATTTTATTTTATTTAAAAATTATACACTACAGTTTACATTTTTATCGTAAGTGACAAATGATACAACTAATATATTTGAAATATAATCATTTTCTTAAAGTATGTACAGTTTTGAATGTGGCTGTTTCACCCATGTAATACACATATGTAAACACAGCTATTGTATGTATGCAGAGGTAATGTACTAAAAATCTGATATATATATGTGTGTGTGTGTGTGTGTTGCAAAATTGGCATATTGTTAATTGTATTTACATAGTTAAATGCAATTGTGTTTGTTGACTATGTTCAATAATTAAAGTCTCTTGAACTGTTAATGCATTTTCATTAAAGAATAATTCACCCATGAAATACACCTATGTAAACACAGCTATTGTATGTATGCAGGAGTAATGTACTAAAAATCTGATTTTATATATATATATACACACATATACGTGTGTGTGTGTGTGTGTTGCAAAATTGTCATATTGTTAAGTTAATTGTATTTACATAGTTAAATGCAATTTTGTTTGTTCACCATGTTTAATAATTACAGTCTCTTGAACTGTTAATGCATTTTCATTAAAGAACATAAGTACAAAGGATTTAAATAATTGTTTTTCTCCCATGAATGTAAAATGACCAGGTAACTGCTGGGTGTTGTTGGCATGACACAATCTAAACAGGGTGTTTCATCCATTAGGGGCACTCACATGCCTTCCTATCTTGTTAATACAAGCAAAGACTAAGAAACATAACCTTATTTGAAAAACAACTAGCCATATTTTTACTAAATACATCATTTTGGTTAATATGTGTCTGTGAAATTGGGGTGGGTCAGGGGGTCAAAAGTAAATACCATGAATGTCAAGTTTATAAATTATATTTATAACTAGATGTTTAGTGAAACAAGTTTAGCGAACATGAATAAAGCCTGCTAATATAGTTTCTCAGGTTTATATATTATGATTTATTATACAGGAGCATTATATCCCAAAAACAACAGCAGATTGATATGTATAGATATAAGAAATCCCCGCCTCTGTTCTCCAGTTGTTGAGCCCATACTGTAACCTCAGTTATCCATACACTCGTGCTCCGCCCCCACTCACCACATAACTGAGCTTCTCTCTCTCTTTGATAATGTCCATTATATTTTCTGTAATACAAAGTCCAGCCCTCCACACACTGGCTTCCAATGCTGCCTGTCCTTAAACAGTTAAATACAGATTAACTGATTAGTACCAGTATAGTTTCAACTTTTCTCCTGTTGAGCAGTTTTATCAACCTCACACACAGTCTTTGCCTTGGCAAATCATTCAAGCAATGTGAGCTTCCAACAAATTATGCACAAAGAAGTTAGTTAATGTACTTGCACTCTGTCCAGCAGCACAGACATCTTTTGACATCCTAATTCTGATTGTTATGTGGGAAAACGTGATGTTAGCCTCTTCTAACATAATCCCACCCAACTCAATTTGAGCAGAGGAAATACATAAGTGCAACAATCTTTCAATCGAAGTGACTAACATTGTCGCATTCATGCAGGAGCATATAGGTAAAAGCATAAACACATTAACAAACTGTGCTGACCCTCTTTGCAACAAATATTTGTAACTCAGTATTTACATTAATAAAAAAAAAAAAACTCTAAAAGCACAGAAAAGCCATAGATTGTGAATAAGAAACTCTTGTGAAAAAGAAGTATGCTTTAATATAATATTAGTCTACTTAAGCCATATACAATTACTTTATGCTTAACTTTGTACCTACTGAATCTATATTCAAATCCACTTTGAAAAAAAATACTTCGTTTGGGTGTGCTAATTTGGCACTGATGATATATGTATGCTTAAAATATATAATATGCTTATTTTATAATAAAACTATACTTTTGCAAAGTGTGTCCTAGGAGCATTTGTTACTGCTGTGCTAAAAAATATCAATATCAATGAAGTATGCTTAAAATACATATGTCAATTTTGTGTTGAAACAGGGCTACATCAAATTATGCTAACTGTGCTTCTTTTATGCTAAAACTGTACTTTAACAAAAAGGGTATTTATTAGTGCTGTCAAAATTAATGCGTTAATTGTTGCGATTAATTTGAAATATTTAACGCGTTAAAAATATTAACGCAATTAACGCAGCTGGGTGTTTACTTCCTGTGGCGGCTGACTTATGACGAGGTGTACCGCCAAACCGAACCAAAAAGATGGATAAGGACAAGGATGGAGTTTTAGGCGTAAAGTTTTACTTTAAAAAGTTGCCTGATTGAACCTTGGAGAAAACAAAAGTAATCTGTACAGTCTGCAAAGCCGAATTTAATTACCACAGAAGTAATTCGTCTTTGACATACCACCTCAAAGCAAAACACCCTACCGAAACTACCTCTTAGGGGCCTCGTCAGTTAACATTACAGGAGTGTGGTACTCGTGGACGAATAACGAAACCTGTGAGTGAGAAGGTAACTACTGCTTTGGTTAACTGGATAGCTAAAAACTGCCGCCCGATTAACATAGTAGAAGATGATGGACTGAGGGAAATCATTCGAATTGCATCAGGAGACACCTCTTATAATCTACCCTCGAGAGGAACTATTGTTTCAAGAATGCACACTTTGTATGAAAGCAACAGGTCACGAAGGATGAACATGCTTGAGCAAGCAAAGTGTGTCGCTCTCACAGGGGACCACTGGACTTCGGTAAGCAATGACAACTACTTGGGCGGCACTGCGCACTTCACTGATAAACAATGGAATCTGCAGTCGTTTGCGCTAACTGTGAGTAAAACAGAAACGCGAAACTACGCAGAGGCATGTGCTGATCATTTTCTGGATGTTGCAAAAGAATGGAACATCACGGAAAAGTTAACTACACTTGGCACTGACAGTGCTCGTAATATGGTTGCAGCCGCGAGGCTGCTAACATTTGAACATTTGCCCTGTATGGCCCACAGTCTGCAAAGAACGGTCACGGTTTCGCTTCGTGACAGTGGATTCGAAAGTCTTCTGGCTAAATGTCGCAAGATTGTCGGACACTTTAAGCACAGTCCATCAAACGCACATGAATTAAGTGAACAGCAAGTTGCACTTGGACAGAAGCAAGAATCACTCGTTCAGGACGTTGCAACAAGATGGAATTCTCCTCTAGAGATGGTGAAGCGAATCCTGCGAAATAAATCTCCATTGACCACTACACTGGCTCTGCAAAACAGCAGCGTTGCCATGTTGAATGGAAAGGAGCTTGCCAAACTGCAAAAGCTAGAGGAACTACTTGAACCTTGCAGTTGAGTTAATATTTCTTTCTGCTCTCACTCGCCGTGGCTGTATGTCTCTCTCGCTGTGTATGTGTATGTTCTTTCTCTCTCCCTGTTTTCTGTGTGTATGTGCTCTCTGTCTGTGTTTTCTGTGTTTATGTACCATCTGCCTGTGTTTTCTGTGTGCATGTGTCTGTTCTTGATCTCTTTGTCTACTTATGCATGTGTGTGTCTGAAGTCTCTCCCTGTGTATCTTCTTGCTCACTCTCCCACTGGATCCTCTGTGTGCATGCAGGCATGCGTAGCATACATACAGCAAAGTACTGAGTGTTTTTCTCTCTGTAATTAATATAAATTTACTAACATGTTTAAAACATCTTGTGCTTTCCATTGCAGATATGTGACTGAACTACTCGGAGGAGAGCAGTATGTCTCTTGTTCAGTGGTGTTGCCAGCCTTATGCCAAATGTTCAGAGTTATGGAGCCCTCAGATGATGATCCAGTCTATGTAGTGAGGTTCTTTACCACAGACCTAGCTAAACGGAAGGACACCACCAACGTCACATGGCTGAAGATCGCTACTGCACTTGATCCCAGGTTTAAGGATCTGAAGTGTCTTCCCAAAGATGAAAGGAGTGAAGTATGGGCTTCATTACACAACTTGATGATGGCAGAGATGCCTGCACAACAACAGTCTGCAGAGGCAACAGAAACACAGCCTTCAAAGAAGAGGAGGATGTCTGCCTTCTTGCTGGGTTCTTCTGATACGGATACAGACAAAGAGGACAAGTCCATAGAACAATGTCTGGACCGCTACAGAGCAGAGCCCAAAATGGATATAGAGGGGTGTCCACTACAGTGGTGGTCAAAGAGAGAAGGAGCACATGCGAGGCTGGCACCCATTGCACGCAAATACCTGTCAACCCCTGCAACCACAGTGCCTTGTGAGAGGTTGTTTTCACTCTCAGGCCACATCATCCAAAAGAAGAGAGCTGCTTTGTCCCCTGATAATGTA